TTTTTTTTTTTTTTTTTTTTTTTTTGAGACAGGGTCTTGCTTTGTCATCTGGGCTGGAGTGCAGTGGCATGAATTTAGCTCACTGCAACTTTGGCCTTCTGGGCTCAAGCCATCTTCTTACCTAAATCTCCAAAGTAGCTGGGACTACAGGTGCACACCACTATACTTGGCTCATTTTAAAATTTTTTGTAGAGATGAGGTCTCACTGTATTGTCCAGGCTGGTCTCGAACTCATGGGCTCATGTGATCCTCCTGCCTTGGGCTCCCAAAGTGTTGGAATTACAGGTGTGAGCCATCATGCCTGACTGAGATCCAGTTTTCATTTGAAGCCTTGGTATCTTGGTGGTGGCGGGGATAGCATATTGACCGTACCTGGGCAATGGGAGGTGTTTGAGCCAGGTGGGGACAATGTGCTTCAAATGATACATCCTACCTCCCTCTTCAAGAATAACCCCATCACACAGCAGAAAATGAAAACGTATTGCCGTGTTACCTGGACTAGAGATGTGTCCTGGATTTCATCTCTTCCTAGGTACCACCTCTTGAGAATCCCTGACTTTGTTATTTTCCTCAAAACAATGGAAACTTTATTTACAAGATTGCTGCTGACCAGGCATCAATAAGAAGAAATGGGAAGGAAATCTTTTATATAGACACAGAATGGCTAACAAAGGTGACATCTTGTTGAGTTGCAAGGGAGACACAATTCCCTTGGGCAGATGTTGAGAGACGTGAGCCATAGTCTCCATGAACTTGGTCTGGGACCATGCCTTGAATGAAGACGTCATGGCAGAAGCGAAAAGAATGAAAACTTGAGCTTACTATATTTCTGATGCTATTTCTGTGGAATTTAAAATTTGTCAGCTGGTGGATACACATTGTTAATTTGAATACTCTTCATTATATAAATAATCTGCTAAGTCTTCATCCCTGGAAACTGTTATGGAAGTGAAAACAATCACCTAAAGGAATGTTTGAACATGCATACACCGAATGACCAGAGTTATGGCTACGTTTTTAAAGGCTTTTTTCTAGCTGTGTCATTAGAAGTCTCAGTTGAGATCTACAGCAATCCTTGGAGCTTCTGCAGCCCATATCAGGTGATCATGACACAATAGTCAAGTTCTATCAACAATGATGAATCGGGATTTGATTGAGTTTCTCTATATAGCTCTCTTAGTGATGAAATACCTGGGCAGAAGTACTTCTCCCACCTCTATACAGCAAAATAGTTAGTGGTGGTGCTATACAATTTTAAGAAATAAGCAACACACTTTGTTTTCTATATGATACAGAAACTGAGCTGAGTCCCACTTAGGAGGTCTGCTTCATCATCACAACTCTGTGGGCTAGAGGCTAAATCTCTGAAGGGAGAAAAAAGGCAGGAAGGTATGTTTTGTGCTTTTGTTAAATGGGCCTCAAATGCCTCCATTCATTTATTTGTTGAAGACAGGGTCATCTCATTTAATTCAGCAGGAAAACAACTCTACCAGAAAGAAAAGCTGTCTCAATCTTCCCTGTATTGCAAAGGTATTTCAAATACGCTCCTCGTGAAGGAGGTTGCACAGGGAATCAGACCCAGGTGCCTGCTTTGCCCCTGTTGCACAGGGTTAAGTGAGGGAAGCCCCTGACTCACAAGTGCATCCGGCTGTTTAAGATTATGCATACTGTGTCTGAATGTATAACTATGGCAAATATATACTCTGGAGCAATGTTAAGTTCAGCTTAGAATGATGTACTGCTTAGGGCTTTGAGGGAAAACATAAGAATGATAAAATGAGCCTAAATTATTCTGGAAGAAACACTGGTCCCCCAACCCATTTGGCGATCTATTATTTCCTCCTGGGCTGCTCCCTCCCCAAGAGATTTGGTGCAGGAGGCAAGGAAGGACAATAAGAAAGGTTAGGAAGAAGCACCTTGGGATGCTGACATTCTCTGCCTTATCCTTCTAACTCAAGGACAAACAGCGTTGGGTTGAATATAAGGCCCTTTTCCCAAAACTGGACACAGGCAGAAACATATATATATGCAAAATTACTATGATCCTGTGATAGGAGCTGGAATCACTTCTCTTTAGCCTCAACTTCCTTTCATTTTCATTAGGTAGGCGGTCAGCGTCTCACCTTGCAGTATTGGTTGGAGATGGCTTAAGATCAAACTTCACATCTTAACTCTTACTTCCAAGATTTATTTTGTAATAATAATAAAAAAAAAAGAGCCTGCCCCATCGCCTCCTCACCTGGGTATTTTATTTATCGGGACTGAGCACGGCATTATTTTCGGAGGGCTGGAGCAACCGTGCAGTCCTTTCTAATCAAAGGATTTGCAATCAGCTGGCTTTGAAATCACATCGTCCTTCTGGGGTCCCTGGAGCACACCACCTCCCTGTGATTTCTACTCAAGTTTCCCCCGGCACCCCCAGCACCCGTTCCATTCCTATTTAATCTTTAAGCTCTAATCCTTTTGCAAGGAAGCAGGATAAGATGCTCTAACCACAGTTACACACAATGTTGATTCTCAGGTTCACCCATTTGAGGAATTGTTTGAAGAAGAAACGCGCTCTGTACTGAGTCTGGAGGCAGGCACAGTGCCTGGGCGACCCTCATAGTCTCCCTCTGACACCCCGCACCCCACCTCCCGCTGCCTTTGCGCCTCAAAGCTGCCAAACATCCCCAAGCCAGAGCTGGAGTCCCTGGAGTGGGTCGGGGTAAGAGAGAAGACAAGGTCGTCCCGGAAGGTGTGCGCCCCTCACCTTGTGGACGGTGCATGCAGCCGCGCCGCACGGGGCCAACTGGGGCGTCCCGCTGGCTCCAGAAGTGTCACTCGGAACCCGCTCCTTTTCCTTCTGAGCTGGATCAAATCACTGCTTCTCTCAGCACTCGATTATGGGGTACGCTGAGCTTGGGGCGTTCTCCCCGCCAGCGTCCTTGCCCGCGCCAGTGGCCGCCGGGATGCGGCGAGACAGAACCTGCGAGCGCGGCGCGCCGGGCAGCCTGAGGCACCGCGGGTGGCAGGCGCTGCGCTCCGCCGAGTCTGGGCGCCCGTACTGGAAGAGGAGGCGAGAGAGCAGGGAAGAGGAGGAGGAGCAGGAGCAGGGGCAATCTGTTAAATCATCTATGCAGGTCGCAGCCACCCAGGACTCAGTGAATAGAGAAGGGGGTGGGTGGGATGAAAAGACGAGCCTGGGGGTAAGGCAGGTGGTATGGTGAACTGGGGGTCGCAGCTCCGAGGTGCTCCAGGTCTTGCTTAGGTTGTAAAAGAGAAATTCTGGAGCTGATGGCGCCTTAGGGCTCCCGGTTGCAAACACTAGAGGGCAGGGCTGTCCATGTTATAAAACGGGCCTGTGGGGCTGGAGGTGTGGACAAGGGACTTACCTCCAGAGCCCCTGGCCGGCTACAGCCCTGGTAGAGAAGGGGAGAATAGATACAAGGAGGTAGACCCCATCCCCCTTTTCTGTAGCGAGCCTGGGTTGAGAAGTGAGGAACAGCGGGAGCAGCTGACGGGTTTGCCCGCTTTCTGTACGTGGCCCCAACAGGCAGACCCTCTGGAGGTGCATTTCTCAGCTTTCCTCCAGGGGAGATTACAGTCAACATGCATAGGACACCTCAAGGAGAGAGATTACAAGGGAGGGGTGAGGGAGAAGTGGAGGAAAATTGGGGTGGGTCAAAGTGGAAGGCGGGGAGGGGGAGAAAGCAGTGAAAAAAAGGAGGCGGAGGGTGAAGTGGTTGGGGCTGAAGGACCTGCCGCCCCCCCCCCCCCCGCTTTTTTTTGAGGGAGGCCTACCTGATGCCATCTCAGGTTGGCAGAGGGCCTTGTGCTCTTCTTAGGGTGCCAGGGACTGTTCTTTTTGTTGTTCTGCTGCCACAAGTCCAGAAAAGTTAAGCTGGAGGGACTTTACAGAATCCCAGCATTGCTGAAAGAAGCTTCCTTAGGGGCTGGTTGGTTATTCTCTGTGGAGAGCTTGCGTGACTCAACCTTGAAGCTTAACATGGACATAGTCCCTGCCATTGTAAAAAAGAAATCAGATGGTTTGAACTAGCCGTAACATGAACTAGACAATCTTATGGAGACAGTATGATCTGTAGACAGCCTGATACACAAATATTAGAGTTGAAAGGACCTTGGAAACCTACATGGTAGCAACCTGGGTAGCTTCCCCAAACACCTCCCTCACACTTGTCTTCCTTGCTTGTAGCCTTATAGCTGATTTGAAAAAGCACTTTAAGTTTTTTATTGATTTTTTTTTTTTTTGAAGTTTGGCAATTCTAAACCAAACGAAACCCTTCTTTAGTTCAAAAAGGAAGCCTGTGCCCTTCCTACTGCCTTCTGGAGTGCCTCTCAAGGCCAGCAGGGGCTGAATGATGGGGGCCAGGAATTTCACTGAACAAGAGAGAGGAAGGTTGGTAAATTACAGTCTTGAATAGTGATTTGCTTCTGTTAATCCCATTAAACTGAGAATAGGCTTACGTAGACTGAAGTCTAACAGGAGGATTAGGTGGAATTATGTTTTCTTACTGAAGATGACACTTCTTGAAGTTTGTTTGATGATAAAGGTGTTATGTAAAAATAAACAGAACAAGAATCATTCCTCATTTTAAAAAAGAATCTTATAGGACTGAGGGTTTTTTTTAGGCATCCCAAGAGAGTAAGGAAGGACACTGTCCTACTCTGGCAACTTTGGAGTTCCTCCAAAATATGAAGGAAATATGAGTTCATTATATTTCTTTTTTTTTTTTTGGAAATTGGTTTACCTTTCTTTGGTTATTACAATGTAAGGAACTATGGAAACAAATATTATACACTTGGAAACTATCCTGAACATACCTTGGAATACTCACGTTTTGGCAGATGTTCAGCTTTATGAGGTGTCTGATTATTTTCAAGCTATTAATTAACTTCTGGCATATATTTCACCAGTTTTAATAAAATAATGCTCTCTTAATCAATAGCTGATAATTTAATTTGTGGATTACCCATTTGAATTTCCAATGGGCTCTATGAGTGCTTTAAGATGGCAGGTATATGTAAATCACTTCCCCATTTCATAATAGAGAATTCCTTGTCAGTTAAAAAACTATAAGGATTGAGTGGAGCCCTGGCCATCTGGCATAAAAAATTCATCAACTTGCAGTGAGAACTCAAAAGTCATTATCAAGAAATTAATTCATCAACTCCACTCATTCATTAATTCAAAAACTGTTGATAAATATCTACCATGTTTGAGGCATAGGCAACTTCTAGGACTAAAATAAAGAAGAGACAGTTTATTCTCTCAGTGGCAAGACTGATTCCCCAAACTAGGAAATCCATTCCAGAGTAATAATTGGGAGAAGGGGAAGTACAGGATGTTATGGGAGCACAAAGGAGGGCAATCTAATCTAGGGTTTAGGACCAGGGAGTAATTGCTGGAGGTGGTAGTGGCAGTGGTGTGTGTATGGGCGGTGGGGTGGTTGATAGTGGTTGGGAGAGGGAAAAATGATGAACAATGGATTTCCCCTATCCCCGATACAATCCTAATTACATTTGTTAATTTTTCACTTGGATGCTGGAACTTCACATTAATGGATGAGGAAGCAAGCATGCACATGGTACATTTTTCTGCTAGAAGTAAGAGTATAAGTTTTGTGAGGCAGGAACTGTGTATAACTTGTTTATCACACCATTACAGAGAAGAATCAAGATTCTGGTTGACATTGTTTGTCATTTTCTACCTCTACCATGGAAGTGGGAATAAAACATGAAGGGAAGGCATTATGGTGGGGAGGGAGCTCGCACCATCCTAGGTGCTCTCCATACACTATTCCACTAAACAATTTTCAACACTGTGGCATAGTTCTTCTCTCATTTTATTGTTGATTTCAAGCACTGAGCTTCAAATTGCATTTTATGTTTATGGTGTGGCAAAGTCCAGAGGGAGAGAATGAAATGTTTACAGGTAGATTTCAACATTTATCAGATTTCAGGAAGTTATGCTTTGGTAACCAAGCATAACCCCCAAATCTCAGTGGCTTGGTATGGTAAAATTTAGTGGCTTGCTAATAAAGGATTTAGCTGTGGATTGGCTGCAGCTCCATTTGGGGACCCAGACTGATGAAGCCAGGCCATTTTTATAGGAGAGGGGAGGGTAATCGGGGAACATCACAATGGCTCTTAAAGTTTCACCTTAATTATAAGATAAATCACTTATGCTCACATTTCATTGGCTAACCCAAATCACATAGCTAAGCCTGATGTCAACTGAATAAAAAGCAGGCTTCCTCCGCTGGGAAGGATTCCAGGGAGGGATTCTGTAGAGATGGGCCTGGGAGTCATAGCATTTGTGAATAAATTATTAAATTGACAACAATCTCCAGCAATGCTTTTGAATGAAGGCATTTTCACTATAAAATGTTTTATTTGTTGATACTATTGGCTAACCGTGTTCACCAACCTTAGGATATGGAAAGCAAAATAATGAATTTAGGTTGATTAGCTTAATCAACTAGAATATAGCTTAATTGATTAGAATACATTATTTAGGACTAAACTGTTCAGAGAACAGTTGGCAAGGTGGCCTTGCACTGAGAAAAAGCTCTACTCTCTGGCCAAAAACTGGCTCTTCCTCCAGGTTGGCATATACTAATATTTGTTCCCATGAAGAAATAATTAAGGCAGACTTGGTGGAACAAACCTTAAGCTCTAGTGGTCTTGGCTCATGATAACACATTTTTTTCATCAAAATAATCATGAGAAGCAGCTCACTTGCTCATGAGTAGAAATAGTTTATAAGTTTTCAATAACCATTTCTTGAACACCTCCAACCTGGAAGTTTGAAAGAGGTATAGGACTTGGTCCCTTCTCTAAAGGCACTAAAAACCCAAAGTAGGTGAAGGCATTTACATGAATGACAACATGAAGGAGCTGAAGGAGCAGAGAAGCCTCTGTGGAGAAATTGGGGCTTTGGAAAGATGTGTAGAGCCTGAGTAGGCCCTCTTGGTGTAGGGCTAATCCTTCTGTCTTCCTGCCCTCAAGCACCTGCTTCTCTGTGCTCCAGGGAGTGATCACTATGTGCCATACATATGCGTCTGGTGACTCGCCAGCCTAATCCTTTTCTCAAATGGACAGGTGACCATGTGGACTAAACAATTATGTCCCTTTGCCCCTCTTTTCTTTTTTCTTTTTCTTTATTATGAATTTTTCATTTTTGGGGGTATATAGGAGGTATATATATTTATAGAGTACATGAGATGTTTTAATACAAACATGCAATGTGAAACAAGCATATCATGGAGAATGGGATATCCATCCCCTCAAGCATTTATTCTTTGAGTTACAAACAATGAAATTATATTCTTATAAATTATTTAAAAATGTACAAATAAGTATTATTGACAATAGTAACCCTGTTGTTCTATCAAATAGTGGGTCTTATTCATTCTATTTTTTTGTACCCGAGCCCCTGTATTATTAAATAAATAATTTACAAGTGGATACCATGAAGGCACAAAAAAAAAAAAAAAAAAACAGTGTGCAGATCAAGTTCTGGCAACTGGTGGGAAGGACAGGGTGGCTGCTTGTGAAAGTGACTCATCTATTCATGCCTAGGCATCCTTGTAATGAAGGACTCCTTTGTTTCTGCCACTCCTGAGTCCTAATCAAAGCTGGCAGTCCCTGTTATATGTTCATCGGTGGCCTTTGGTGATTTGGGTGGTGATTCATTGATGTTAGGGCAGCTTTCTCCTTTCACTGTTGTACTTGACATTCCTATGTAGGCTAGTCATCAAGCATTCGGACTTTAGAGTGAAACTTGAGGGTTCAGATTCCAGCTCCACTACTTACAGCAGAGTGACCTTAGGCCAACTTATTGTACATTTGTCTCAGTTTCCAACATTCCTAGAATAGGGATGATAAGTCTTGTACGAGGGTTTCTCACATGAGACAGTGAATTAAAGTTCATGGCACAGTGGCTGGCACACAGTAAGTAATGGGTGTTAGTTATTACTATGATCTTTTCCTTTTTATTTACTGTGCAATAAGAAGATTCATTTCTCAGATTATTTTTAATGTCTGTGCCTCTAGTTTCTAGTACCTTTCTTCTGGCCTGCATATAGAGATTCTCTAGCCTAAATATTCCCTGTACCCTCTCTTCTCCTGCCTTTTCCTTGAATCTCTCTCACATCTATATCATCTTTGCCTCTATTTACCATTACTGTTTAATGTTGTGAAAAGAAAAATAATTCATGATCAGCATTTCTTCTTCCTCACCTCTCACTCATTCCTCAGACTGAATATAGCTTCTGA